GCAGATGACACCACCCTTATGACAGAAAGTGAAGAAGAACTAAAGAGCCTATTGAAGAAAGTAGAAGAGGAGAGTGAAAAAGTTGGCTTAAAGTTCAACATTCAGAAAACTAAGATCATGGCATCTGGTCCCATCACTTCATGGGAAATAGATGGGGAATCAGTGGAAACAGTGTCAGACTTTATTTTTTGGGCTCCCAAATCACTGCAGATGGTGACTCCAGCCATGAAATTAAAAGACGCTTACTCCTTGGAAAGTTACGGCCAACCTAGATATCATATTAAAAAGCAGAGACATTACTTTGCCAACAAAGGTCCGTCTAGTCAAAGCTATGGTATTTCCAGTGATCATGTATGGATATGAGAGTCGGACTGTGAAGAAAGCTGAGCTCCGAAGAATTGATGCTTTTGAACTGTGGTGTTGGAGAAGACTCTGGAGAGTCCCTTGGACTGCAAGGAGATCTAACCAGTCCATCCTAAAGGAAATCAGCCATGGGTGTTCTTTGGAAGGAATGATGCTGAAGCTGAAACTCCAATATTTTGGCCACCTCATGCGAAGAGTTGACTAATTGGAAAAGACCCTGAAGCTGGAAGGAATTGGGGGCAGGAGGAGAAGGGGTCGACAGAGGATGAGATGGCTGGACGGCATCACCGACTCTATGGACATGAGTTTGAGTAAACTCCGGGAGTTGGTGATGGACAGGGAGGCCTGGCATGCTGTGATTCATGGGGCCGCAAAGAGTCGGACACGACTGAGCGACTGAACTGATTGATGCCTTTGTGTATGCTTAGTTTTCTAGCACTGAAGATTGAAAATTCAATTTTCTAGGTCTGCAAAATAAAACGTAATTTAGTAAGGTAATTTATTTATAATGGTGGGGAAATGTTGTATTTTGGTTAACTCTAAGTTAAATGAACTATTCCTATTCACCATAAGAAAGAGACTGATTCTCAAAATTTGGGCAATATTCTAACAAGACTTAATAAAAGTTTATAAATCTGTCTTGACCTCACTGGGGTCATGAGTTCTTAGAAAGTCATCATTACAAACATTAAAATCATTACAAATTCTCATTATACAGAGTGACCAGGGTAGAAGTTATAAGATTCTAGCCATTATCCATGAACAGAAGGTACGTGGATTATTTTAATGACATTGTTGGAAGAGACCTAGCTGGGTCCTAGACAAGCTGTGAATAGTTCATTTCAAGTACCTCCTTTCTGCCCTCATCAACATCTCCATTCTATTTGTCTGCTTTCTTCCTCCCATTTCCTGTCCCTATTCCATCCCCCAAATTCTTCTAACTTGCTTTTGTTGTGGTGGTGGCGTAGTCGCTAAGTCATGTGTGACTCTTTTGCGACCTCATGGACTGTAGCCCGCCAGACTCCTCTGTCCATGGGATTTCCCACGCAAGAATACAGGAGTGGGTTGCCATTTCCTTCTCCAGGGGATCTTCCCTACCCAAGATCAAATTGGAGTCTCCTGCTTGGCAGGCAGATTCTTTACCACTGAACCTCCTGGGAAACACCTAACTTGTTTTATGTTACAGCTGATCACTGCTAACATAGATATTAGTTAGGGATGAGGATGAGATTGCCACGATCCAGGAATATGTATTTGTCCTCTCAAGGAAGCTGCTTAAATAGGTGTCTCCAACACCCCCTCCTCTTCCACCCATGCCTGAGACAAATGAAGAAATGACTTACGCTTCGTGGTGGTTTAGTCGCAAAGATATGTCAGACTCTCGCGATCCCATGGACTGTAGCTCACTATGTTCCTCTGTCCATGGGATTTCCCAGGCAAGAAAACTGGAGTAGGTTGTCATTTCTTTCTCCAGAGTATCTTCCCAACCCAGGGATCAAACCAGAGTCTCTTGTGTCTCCTGCATTTGGCAGGAGGATTCTTTACCGACTGAGCCACCAGGGAAGACTTATGCTTAATTTAACACAAAAAGCACTTACTGGTCTGACCCCTGGTTTTGTAGTTCAGTGTCTGGTGCTCCTGAGCACAAACCTGCAGCCAGCTTTCATTTCATCTCATGTTGTCTTGGCATCCCACATGCTTTTTCTTCTACCTAGTAAAACCTAACTTGCACCCATCCCACCCCACCCCATACCACAATCACCTTCACCTCAATGACTGCCCTTGGGAGGAGGGCTCAAATAAACACTGCAGGGAGAAGCTCTCCCAGGCCTCCCAGTCCACTTTAGATGCCCCTCCTCCACACATCCCTGGCACTCTAGGTGCTTTAGGACACTTACTATTTCATACGATAATTATTGGTTCCTTTCTCTGTTTTTCCCACTAGCTAGACTGTAACCTCCTTACAGCCTTATCAGTCTTCATATTTTCAACGTCTCGCAAATTGCTCAGGACTCACAGCTCATTAAGGCTGAACAAATGAAAGATTGAAAGGAAATGAAGGAGGTTTGGGATACAGTGTTTCAAGGAGGGTGGAATTTTTTAATGCTGGAAATACTCATTTAAAATGTCAACCTCCACTGTAGAATATAGGACTTAATATGCACAGAGCCAATAGCACTATAAAGTTTCCTGGGCTTTTTGTTTAAAAAATTCCTGATACCAGCTTATTAACTTTTCATTTGTTCCTTTCTCACTAAAAAAGAGCACAAAGCAATCCCATTATTTAGGCTTCCCAACTGTCTAAGTTCCAGATAAATGGGCTCACCGAGTTTGTGTGTGCTTTTATGCACTTTAATCAATATATTTCCCAGTTTGAACAAGACAATAAATTAATTCCTGTCTTTTTTAAACTAGTTTCCACTTCCTCAAAGATGTCACTACCCAACTTGGAAGTAGCCTTGAAGAGTGAAAAAACAGATTCCTTGAAGAAATTAGTACCCTTGCAAGTTTTAGTCCTGACTCTGCCTCTGTAGACTTGGGAAAATTACATAACATTTATGGACCTGTTTCCTCACCTATAAAACATAGGAGTTGGACCAGTTGATTTTTAAGCTCCCTGTCAGTTTTAAAATTCTATTATTGTATAAATCTTTAATTCTAACATATAGCAGGTGGACCCTGAAAAGTGCTAGAAATGACAATGCTGTACTGTCACACAAAGAAGATAATCTTCATCACAGGCAATTCATTTTAAAATTCACGACAAAGTCAAGTTGGCACGCACTACATCTGAGAGGGTGAGAGTAATAAATGCATCTATGGAAAGAGCAGGAAGCAAGGGGAAGCAGACCCATGCACTCTGTGAGACAGTACACAGCCTAAATGTATTTTCTCACACTGATGTATTTTAAATTTGTGACTATGAATATACCACAGTGAACAGCTTGAAGTTCTTTGGAACAAACATCGTCTCGTCTAAGGTCACTCCTGAAGGAACTGCAATAATAACATTTGGCATATGCAGATAGAGTTCTCTGCAAAGTGGAGCATGGAGAATTATACTCTGCATGTTCCAGAAAAGATGATCCATGATTCAGGTGAAAAAAAATGTCAGGTACATTTTTGACAGTGGCAGCAAACCCAAGTACTATAACCATACAATCAATATGGACGCCCTCATTAAAATCCCCAAGTAGCTGCGAGTTTGATTTTCAGCAAGTCTGGACAGGAATAATGGATTTCGTGGCCTGGAGGAACATTAGAAGTTTTAATAAAAGGAACTTAGAATTACCAGTGCTGGCCCCAGCTCCCTCTCTACAACAACACAGGATGAACCTAATTCCTCGTCTCAGATTCTTGTTATTCAATTTAAAATGCCATTTTATAGACAGCCTGATAATTTCTCCTCAAAAATACATTCATAAAAATTGCTTTAAAATTCTGATCAATGTTTTCAGTTCACATAGATATTAAACTGAATTTCCTAAAGCCTGAAAAGCTAATTATGCATTCAATTAGAGTTTCTTAATAAAGATTAAAACTCTGAAGTCTATTACAAGCACATATTTAATTCAACTGCCATTTTATCCATGCCATGGAAGTGTAAGTGGTAACAATGAATATAAATTATAATACATGCCATAGAAAGAATGCTATTTGTCCAAGTACGTTGCTATAAAGAATTAAATTTTGCTATCAGTTCCACGATCTAGTTAAAATTGGTATTCTTTATTTGGTCTTTCAATGTAGTCCAATTTCCTACTTTGAAAAACAAATTCTAGGGAATAAAGAAAAGAGATTAATTTATCATTAAGACTCTGCTTAATTGAAGTCAATTCCGAACAAACTTGAATTCAATTTCTGCTCATTAAATTGAATGTGCTCTGCGTTCCTCTCTGCATTGCTTTGAGCAAGCAGCTGAGAACAAGGGACTAACATCAAAATTATTAAATTGAGGAGATTTTATTTGGTCTTCACATGCCAGAGCCGCTTTGATGAGGAGCTGTTTTGGCACTGAAAGGAAAGAAGAGCAGCTGGAGGAAAAATCAAATGAAACTAAGCCTTGGAAAATTGAAGAAAACGCAAGCTTAATAATATTTAATAATTAAATTTCCACAAACAATAGCGGCAAATGAAGTAATCTGCAAAGTCTGTGAACTCATTTGCATAATTGATGCCGGTCCCCTGTAAATGAATAATGAAGATAATAAAAGATGTTGCTAAAAATGGGCACAATAACAGCAAATTTCATCAAGCCGCGCGCTCTGATTAATCTGCTCTTGCAAATCAGCAGCGAGAGGGGAGCGCGTGATTAACCGCACCGAGGCCGGCAGCAGGCGGCGGCGCTGCCCTTTCTCCGCGTGTCTCTGGGCGCGTCCTGCCCGCTCCCCGGGCCGCCCGCGCGCCTCTCGCCGCAGCTGCCGCCGGAGCCCGGGGTTCGCGCCTCGGCCGCTGCGCCGCTGCCTTTTGTCGCGGCTGCGTGCGGGGTGATGGCCGCCTGCCCCGCGGTCCCCTCGCACCTCCGCTCCGGGAGCTTCCCGCCTGCGCCTTGGCAGGGGGAGGCCCCGGAGGCGCCGAAGTCCCCGCTGCCCCCGCTCACTCTCCCGATGCAGAATAAACTGGGAAACAATTAGCTAGCCGGGTGGGAAGGTGGTGGGCTTCTCCAAGGCCGGTGGGTTGTGTACCCCCGCCCTCGAATGGGGCTGGGAGTCCCGGCAGTTGGGAATTTCTAATTAGGAGAGACGATGAGAGATGCCCGGTGGCCCGCGAGGGCAGCCGCTTTCGAAGAAACCAGGAATGGCGCTGTGAGATGCGCGGGCCCTGTTCCACCCAGCTCCCCATCACGCACAAAAAGAACGGGCCTTGAAAGAGATGAGTTTATTATTCCCTTTTAAACGACTATTCAGAAGAGATCAGGAGAGGGGGAAAAAAATGCTTCCCACCCCACCAATTCCCTTCCCTTGAAGAAAAGAAAGAGAAAGCAACCCACAAAGGTAAGCTGAGCATTTTCAGATTTTGTGGGGTTTGCTTTATTTGTTTGTTTGTTGAAGAATCAAAATAACATTTTCCAGTTTGCGACTTACATGTTCGTGTGCTTTTTTTCTCAGGGCCAACACAAGGGACTAATAAAATCTCTGAGAACTGTAGGACTCAAATACATGCTGTGTGGGAGTTTGCGAAAGCAACTTTGCTGAGTACAAACCCTAGACGATGAAACTGAAAAGACTTCGAAAATCACAGGCTCCTCTCCCAATCGGCGCCGCACTTTTCCAGCTTTCTAGGATAAAGTTGTCTCAGAAAAAGAAAAACTGTTGATAAACCATCGTTCCAGACCGTAACTTATTTTACAACTCTCCGTTTGCAATCGATCATAGCTCGGGCCTAACAGCACTGACTCGGGCTTTTCATTTGTTTATAGTGTGTGCTGTGTTTTATACCTCAAATGTACCATGTCAGCTATGTAATAATGCGTTATTTTTGTTCACATCCTGGATCCACATCTGCAATGCTTTTGTTTGAAATAAAAGCCGTGATTATTTTCCATTATTACAGAATGGAAACTTCGGTCCTAGACATCTAACATATCTTAAAAATCCAGTTGGGAAAAGTAGAGAGAAGCTCATGTTTACTTCACTTGTAAAGTGCAGTTGACTTTAACTGGACCAGTTTTAATCCAATCTAATAAACCACTAGCTTGCTTCTGCTTCAGAAAAAGCCAGTAAGCCACCCTGAGGCCCAAATCCCATCTTTCACAGTGTCCGGGAAACCTGTGATTACCTTGTTTTTGCTAAATGAATAGCTCATACAGTGGCAGTTAATTTTTCTGGTGCAATAATCACATTGTAATTTTCCCTAATTCGTCTAAGTACAAAGAAATCCTAATATCATGGAATTGTGAGCCAGAGGCAACCTCCTTACTTTACTTGGTAAGAAATGGTCTCACCCTCCACACTCCAGGTTTCCCTACTCCCAGGCCAGTGGTCTCTCTCCACCCCTAACCTCTTGTACAGATCAAGGGAAAGAAACTGGGAAAGGACTCCAAAGCAATGTTTCAGGAACCACAGGGAAACCAAGGGAATGCAGTGACAGAATTCATGGGATGTGGGAAGGGTTCGAAAAATAAATCCTGATGATAAAATGAGTTCTCAAAGAATCAGGAGCCATATGGTAATAGGGAAGCTATGTGAAGGGCAGAGGTTGTATAAAAATTATCTGGAAAACTAAGGACTGTGGGGAGAAAGTAAGTGGTTTATACAATGTATAAAACATGGGACCAAAGTTAGAACAAGAGAAGAAAGGAAAAGTCCATGGGATGTTTGTAGACAGGCAGATGGAGAGGATACATGAATTGGTGTCCAAAAGATTTCCTTCTGTGGTGCTTTTAAGGAAGAAAAGCTGACATACTGGCTCATGAGAATGAACTAGTAAAGAGGTCAGAGACACGGAATGGCCAGACAGTGACAGTCAAGGTGAAGAGTCTTATTCAAGGAACATGATAGGAATGCCAGGGCTTGACCGACATCAAGGGTACTTTGTCTTCTCAGACATGGAGAGTGTCCTAAAACCCACGAATCCTTAGATGAAGAAGCACACTGCCCAGGGTCACCCAGCAGCTCCATGCCTGGCATAGAAAATTCAGGCTTTCTGATCTCTATGGGTGCACTCTCCAGTGATGCCACTTCTCTCTCTTATGATTTGGATTTGTTCAGTTAGGTGGGGTTCTGAAAAGATGCCCTCAGAATTCTTTGCTTTTTCCTGTTTCACATTACCCTGATGTATAAATTAAAAATGTATTCTATAGGGTTCTTCCATTTATTAACTCTTGTATAAGAAATGAAGGTCTCTTGTTGTCACTTGAAAACACCCACATTTTAGAAATGTCTGGGCCACTCCAAAGTAAGAAACAAAATTTATTTCAGTTGGTCAGTATGGAAAGTGCATACTTTATTCTAATTACTCCTGGCTCACACTCAAGAGATGGAAAAGCAGGTAAGATTTTACAGCCAAAATTCTTTGGTTTCTTCCCGTCCTAAAAAAATAATAATAATAAGACTAACCAGTTTGAGCAAGTCTAATGCTCTAAGCAGGTAAACTGTGCAGCTGTGTGTCTGAAACCCTGGGTCCTGGGATACTTTATGGCACTTCATCTCCTTCGAGAGCCATTCATCCTTAAGAGGCCAGGAATCTGAGTTCTGTACGGGCAGAAAATGTACCCACACAGTACTGTTTGTCTGGTTACCCTGGTTAGCTGATGATGACCACATACAATATAAACCAGTGTCTAATTCTTAGAAACTAAGGTTATTGTCAGAGATGCCAGCTCCCCATACACAGAGCAATAGACAGAAATTGCTGCTAATCTGACAAGTGAAAATATTCATACCCTGTGATGTTTACTGTCTGTTCATAGACAACCTGCACATTAATTGTGAGTTACCATTTCCTCACAAATAATTCATCTCTAATGAATAATGATGTCTTTGTTTCCCCCATTCAATTAAAATTTCCCTACGAAAACAGACATTTTATTAAAATAGAAATTATATAATGTTAGCATATGGACTAAAAAAAGCAGTATTTAAGTAGGCAATCCATAAGGCATGTAAAGCATTGTTTATGATTATATAGATATTTTAAACAATTAGGGATCTTCCCTCCCTGGTTTTTTAAGGATAGCTTTGCCATCTGTGTTCCTCCAAAGGTAAAAAGCACAAGTTATTTATCTTTCCTGGTTTGACCAAGATTTTCTAGGATTTACAATCCACTAAAAACAAGTATCAAAACCCATACATCTGCCCTATTTCTACGCACTCTACCCTTCTCTCTGGAAGCCATAAAACCATAATGAAAAGGAATTAGAAGAAAAAAGCATGCAACTCAAAATTCCTTATTGACACTCTTTTCCTTCCTCACTATATTTGATTCAATCAGTATGTGCTGGGCACCCACTACCTGACAGATGCTGAGCAGCAGGTGAATATCTATGATCCCAGCCGACCAACCTGCCACCAGGGGGATACTACATGTACACAGATAATGTACTTGTAGGGCTTTCCAGGTGGCGCTAGTGATAAGGAATCTGCCTGCTAATGTAGGAGACGCAAGAGATGTGGGTTTGATCCCTGGGTGGGGAAGATCGCCTGGAAGAGGGCATGGCAACCCACTCCAGTATTCTTGCCTGGAGAATCCAACGGATAGAGGAGCATGGCGGGCTACACTCCACGGGATCATGGAGTCGGACATGACAGCACAACAACAATAGTGTAATAAATACTATAAGCCGTTAGCCCAGATTCAGAACTCTGGGATGTTTTCTTAAGAAGAAGTTAAAAAAAAATGGGGGAAATTGTTTGATAGCTTAATTCATGATCTGCTTGTTAACTTCATGATGGTCCCTTTCCAACCACAGACATCACCTTGTAATATTCCCCATCTCCAATGGGTATCAGAAAAGTCACGTATTCATAATTCCAATGAGCTATTGGCAATCGCAGTTTAGTTCTACATGATCCCATGAACACATTTTTTCAGAGGGCTTAAGTTTGAAAAAAGAATCCCAGGCATACTTTGTTCAGCACTGAACTATATGACATTGATTTGTTAGAGCGCTGTATATATAAGACCTGTTTTAAATATGTGTATGTGTATACCTGAATATATACATGTTTCACTCTGGATATTAAATTACAAGTTTCATGGTGACTTGAGACACTATTAAGAAATTGGTCTAAGAAACCAAATGTAAGAATTATTAGACAATGAGGAACTAGTAGAAGTTCTTGGACTTTATAAATGGCATTATAAACATCACTGTAGCCTGAGAGGATTAGCCAACAAATGTATGACCAATAGCCAGAAGAAACTTTGACTACAATGTGTCATGACTTCAGGGGATATGAAAAAAATGTAAGAGTGACGGCCAAAGCAGAGTACTGGGAATCTGTATTCTCAGAAACTATAACAAAACTACTGTATCAGACTCTATTGCTTTCACCTGTTTGGAACAGTAACCCTACTCAGCTAGCTTAACTAAATAGTCCTTTGCCTTTCACTTACTGGGAGACTAGGCAGGACTAGCTCAGCAGCCCTACAATTCCACGAGAGACTCAGTTTCCTCTCTTTCCTGTCTATCATCCTTAACGTGCTTTTTATTTTGTTGTTGTGGTGGTGGCGATCACAAGATGGCCCCTTTACCATCTTATGGTAAATAAAACAGAGATGTTTTACCCCAAGATGTCTATTCCAAGAAAAAAAGGGGGTGGGGGAAGAGTAAAAGATATGTACCAGCTGAGTTTGGCCTTTTTTTACAGAAAAAAAGTTTGCCAGAAGCCTCACCCAGTAGAGAGTTCTGTTTACATATCATTGGATAGAAGTAGGTCTAGGTCACATGGCTTTAGCTGGAAAAAAATCTGGTTGGGGGGGGGTGGGCAATGAGAAGTTTTAACTGAACACATAGCTGTCCCAAGAAAATCCAAATTATCTTGGTAAGTTAAAAAGGAAAACTTGATACTGAAAGGAGAACCAGTGCTGCTTCATTAGGGTTTGCAATTCTAGAAGGTGTTGGTTGCCCCCAACACTAATTCATACAAATATTTTGTGTTGATATACCATGTAGCACTGTTGTAAAATAAAGATATCAAATAATGTTCATATCTCCCTATGAGATATGGCATCCCCATACTTCTCCTGGGTAAAGAGTTAGCGTATTTGTAAAGTTATCAAGTGGCCTGACCATTTTTAAAGGCTGTCAAGACACCCAATATTACTATAAAGATACTATATTCCATGCTGAATCTTAATCCCACACTATGCTATATTTGTAAAGGGTTTTCCATCCTTGCTGCTGGAAGTTTATTTGTGGGCTTATCATAAATGCATGAATAACATAAAGTAATGTTTTAATACACAAGACAAGTATGAAAGTATCTGAATGGCCTCAGGAATTGGGATCTGAATCAGTGATATAAAAGGAAGACTAGGATGAACAATGTGTTTTTATCATGGGATATCCTTGTCATGAAAAACACCAGCATGCACATATCATAGTTGTCAAAATAAAGCAGAAAGGTGTCTTACTCCAATCAACTCAATTTTATTTATCCTGTTACCTATTTTTTGTAAACTCTATATTCACTCAGCAGTACCTCAACCTGAGTAGCAGTTCAGAGGTGGGGGACAGTGACAAACCTCAAACCAGTCAACCTAATTATGTTATTAGCTATGTTGTTGACTATAGTTAGGGTTTTGCTGAGAGAGGAGATTGAAGCTATTTGTAAAATAAAGCTTGTGTTTGTGGATTTCAATTATCCATGCTATTCTTAGTCCCTATTTCTATGGATAAGCAAGAGTTGGATGAATCTAAAACTATTATTTTGAAGCAAGATTTGGTTGCTATCTTTCAGAAATCATAGTTTGTGTAAAAATCATTTATCCCACCCTACTTTTATGCCAGGCATTGTACAGTGGGGTCTTGTAAAAAGGCAAGGTTTTAGCAGCCCTCTTACTACATGCCCATTTTCTTAGAAAAAGCAAGTAATGAGTATATA